AACCTTGTCTTGCAGGTGTGATTAAACCGTTAGTACATACCTTGGGGGGTGTTCCTTACCTTGACTCCATGCTCGTGACGTTGAACCTTTCGACTTTATTTGTGACCTTGCTTGTGGTTGTTGCATAGCCATGCATTCACGCATCCATAAAACCCTTTTCACTTGACTTTGAAGGAATTTGGAGGTCTTTCTTTGTAAACATCACAAGTTTCGTCAAGCTCAATGGATCCTGGGTGTTGATAGGGCGAAAACCCTAATCCACCAAAAATGGATGATTGATCTTGATGATAACTTGATCAATGTTCGGAGCCGATTTAAAATTCATCTTCTATCTTCATACTTTGATGTTTACAACTTAATATCTTGAGTTCCTTGAAAATCAAATAAAAACTCTCTTTTGCATATCATACATCATCTACATTTTTTGTTTCACTTTCAAAGGTCTTTTTCCGAGTCTTATTTTTCCGTTGGTCTCACCAGTACAACACTCGCGCTAAGAGAACAATGGAGAATATCAAGCAAGAGGTTTTTGAACTCCGTAGAGAGATGACTATTTTGAAAGCTGGTATGGATCACTCAACTGTTTTGGTTGAAATTTTGGTTGCTGCCCAAGTCAATCCTTCTAAGAAGGAGGAAGCGATGATAAAAGTATTCACTGATTGTCATTCAAGGACGTTGGTTTTGAAGTTCAAATCAAGCACGTGCCGAAGAGTAAACACGATTGATGGTCACTTTGAGTTTTGAAGGATGTTTTCGGTGATTCAAGTCCAGATGGAAAGCCTTCCCCGATCATTAACTTAATTCTGCTTTTTGTAGTTTTTCTTGTTTATCAAAACATTGTTTGCATGTAAGAACTTGTTTGCATCTGTATGATTATCTTAATACAATGAGTATGTTTGTCTTGAAGAAATTCATTCGTTTCACTCATATTTGTTTTCAAATTTTAAATTTCTTTTTGCATTATGATACCAACTTGTTGCCCATTCTCTTGCCTAGGCAGAGATTTAAGGGAGGATGATATCTAAAGAACACAAAATCTCTGGTTGTTTGCTTTTGGATAAAATCTTGCTGATGATGTACAGGCATTGTTTCAAATCCCTAAACACCGGAGATATAAGGAAGATAATACCTTGCTAACCCCTTTTGAGCCTTGAAGTAGAAGTTTCTTTTCTATACGAAAAAACCTTGAATTTTAACCTGGGGCAGGGTAGTTTTTAGTTAATCTGACTGAGTGTTCGAAATTCATAAGGAAGATGTTTTTTGAAGAGAGACTACGAGGGCTATCCTTCATGTATAATGAATCTAGAGGATGTGGAACCACAATGTTATCCCTCATTCATCAAGAAACGAGGCAATCACAATCCTCTCAACAAGCAAAGACAAGCTAATGTCACACATTTTGTTCAAAAAGTCAAAAAATCGAGAAAAAGAAAAGCCTGCTAAGTCAAGAAAAAACATGAAAACGTGTGACTTAGGCAAGGAAGTCGTGTCCTTCCCTCGTAACCCACCTAGCAGGAAAGAAACCGTCGACGAATCAATTTAGGACTCCATATGCCTCTTTGTCCTCGACACTCATACCGCCGGCGGAAGTGTGGTAATATCCGGGACCATGGTCATAGTGGGTCGAGCACCAGTGGATTGGAAACTTTGAGATTCTCCCCATTTTAGGATTACACTCTGCGTGCAAACACGGCTCCCCATCCTTGTCCACCACGGTAGCCGGGTCGAACAGCGAATCCACGGTTGTTTGGGTAGATGGATGCAGGACATACCACTTGTCCTTAAAATTCCGAACATAATCCATGTACATCATAAACAGCCTTTTCGACTGTTTAAGGGATACCCAGCTATGCTTCCCTCCTCGAGACTGATGTTGCAAGTGAACAACCCTGAAAAACAGGGGAATCGTCGCCCTAATCCTCAGGAACCGACATGTAAGTTCGAATTCCCGGATAAAGGCAATCGCGTTAGGATGAAGCTGGGAGGGCGCCAAATTAAAATGATTGAACACCCCCATCTGGAAGTCGTTAAAAGGAAGCCGAAACCGAAGGTCTTTGAACACGATCTCATACATGAGGAAGGCATCCTGAGTGAACTCCGAGCATATGTGAGCGTCTTGTGTCGGCCTCATGATTTTGAAATTTCTTCAAAAATCCTCCTGCCCGTCGCTATACTCGACGACCTTATAGGCTTGCCTCCTGGTGTAACTGTAGATCGAGGTTATCCCTCAGGGTTCTGCACCAACCCAATCCAGAGTAGGATCATCGACGGTGTCGACCAGATTAACGCTTTCCTCGGCCAAGCTGGTTCCCTCGGTGTCCATATGCTCCGATGACTCAAGAGTGTTGGCCATTTACCTACAAAGTATAGGAAACCGATGAATTCGACAACAAATCCACATTTCTGCAACGCATATGAGGAGGTTAAGCAACGCCCAGACCAAGTTGATGGCCATTCGCACAAAAAGGGGAAATATGTGGACCTCGATCAAGCAGCGATCCTAACGACGAACGCGTATATCTATCATAAATATACTGGGCACATGAAGAATATGGCGAACAGACTATGAATCTCACGACCAAGTTCATAATTTTTTTAGCCAGACACAAGGAGATCCTGGGGAAAACTAGCCTAAATGCTGACAAAAGAATGAATCTCACGGCCAAGTTTATAGATTTATTGGTTAAACGCATGAATGTCACGGGGATAATCATAAATCATATGCCTAAAAGCATGAACGCCACGGGCATGATCATAAATCAAATGCCTAAACGCATGAATTTCCCAGGCGTAACCCCCAGACATTAAAACCTACTACTAAACATCATCAAGATCTATCTAAAACACAAGATATCAAGAAAAAAGAATACTTACTTGAAGAAAAGATGAAGAGCGACGATTGTTAAGGTAGGATACGCGATGGACTATGCGGCGGTCTCAAGGATTCTGGGAAAAACGCACGGTGTTGACGACAGAGAAAGTGTAGAAGCGCGGAAATGTGAAAGTAGGTTATGAGCCCTGGAGCCCTATTTATAGAGCTGACGTGGAATATGAAACGTCGTATCGGGAAGTCACAAGCTGCCTTTCTCCTCGACACCTACATGTATAGGCAATGATGGCCCCTACTCCCTAGGTCATTATTACTGTTCCTAAGAGCCACGCCATGTGTCTCACAAGTGTTACATCTTTTCCCCGCGAGTTCTCCTCAAACTCGCTCCGACCGCTGCCCGGAGCAAAATCATGAACCGATGACGTTCTCCATCCACGATAGAAAAACTCCAGGTCAACAATAGCACCTCGCGAAAGCACGAACTTGAATCAAGTCATGACTCCTTCACTAGGAGCAACGACTTGGGGGGCTCTTGTTCTAGACTAGGCCTGCCCTTGGCCCAACTCCCAGCAAGGCCCAATCCAAGTGTGTCAGCCTGCACCAAGGACCGATACTACCCTCGAGCAAGGTGGGCAACTACCTACCCTTTCCCGCGAAGAGATATCCTCACCACGCGGGGACAACGCCCGAGTAGACTGAGGACACTCACGCCCCGACCATGCTGGTAGCGAGGACACCTCAACTAGCTCGTCGACTAAGATTGGTCCCCTACCGAGCTCATATCTGGCGGGGATCACCCACAACTAGCAGACTCTCCTTCTAAGCACCTTCCTCGTAGGGCTGACTACCAACGTCTCCGGATATTGCGGAGTCTTCGTGGTTCCGGAAAGATCGCATTCATATCCTCCTGACCTTGCGGAGGACGTCATCTAGGTAGGGGGCCACATGCGGGTCCCCACTACTCACGTAGAATATGACAGTCTCTATGTTGGGCCTGCTTGATCAGCCCGATAAAGAGACCTTGACCCAACGCAGAGGGCTATAAATACCCTCTCTTTCGAGAGGGTCGGGTATTCAACACTTTTTAAACTCTCATACTTACATGCTTGTTCATTCCCAAACTCATTTTGACATCGGAGTGTCTTGCAGGTATCCCCCACTTCACTCTCAACTTCTGCTCGAGCTAGCTGTGACGGTCCATTTTAGTCAGATACGATCACTTATTTAAAAAGAAATTTAATTTATAATAAATTGAAAATTATCTATCAAATTAATAATATGTCAATATTGTTATTTTTTTATTTTAATGATTTTATACTAAATAACAATACTTTTTATACTTTTATAATTATTCTCGTGCATTATTATTTTTATATAAGTAAAGTATAGCTATTTATTTAAAACGGGTTTAATTTGATTACAATCCTTATCTAACCTTAAACACGTAGATGTACAGTAGGTTCGATTTTGATTACTTTAATATTTATAAATTTTTGCTACAATTATTACAAATTTGAATATTATGATTACTCAACTCATTTTATACATTATTTTGTGCTTAGAAACAATGTCTGTGAAAAATCGTACAAATTAGATTGTTGCTGGTTTTGACAGATTTACATTTTTGGTCAAAAAAAAAAATTTAAAAGGGAAATATATAGAATCATTTTGGTCGGTGAGATGTTTTAATAATAGTCTTTTAATGTAATAAAGTTATATATCTAAGGAAACTAAACACATTTAAATTCAAGGTTAATATATCAACACAAATCATACTAGTTTTGCGTTAAATACCAAAACTACTTTTTATAAAAATAAATTATTTATTTATAGGAAAATAAAGAAATGACATTACTTTTATTATAATTTGTTTTCGTTATTATTTTTAAATAGGATGTATTGTGTAGTTTTGACTGAATATAAATACAATTCAACAAAGTTCACAAGTATTAAGAAAAACAACTTTAATAATAAATCTGGTAAAACTTTGAGAATAATTATAAATAGAAAACAAGAGAGAAAAAAATCGAAAAAGAGTCTTTATAAAAAGATGCATTGGAAATCTGTAGTTTGATGAAATTTTAGTTTATCTTTTAATTCCTTAATTAATAATACACTACTTCCTATAAATTAACATATTCTTCATTATGAAAGTTTCATCATTTCAACCATGGCTAAGTCTAACTCTTTAGTTATTGTAGCCATTTTCACAATTCTCTTAGTAAAGGTGATAGGTCGCATGCCAATTGATTCAAGATGGCACGATGCACATGCAACCTTCTATGGTGACATAAATGGTGGCGAAACCATGCGTAAGTTCTAACAAATTAAATTTTCTTTTTTCCTTCTTTTATTATTCCACTAATGTGTTTTTGGTATATAATAATATGCAGAGGGGGCATGTGGTTATGGAAATCTCTTCGAACAAGGGTATGGCCTTGAAACCACAGCACTAAGCACATCATTATTTAACGAAGGGTATACTTGTGGTGCATGTTTTGAGATAAAGTGTGTCAACGATCCTCAATGGTGCAAAAAAGATGTGAACTCAATCATTGTGACCGCAACAAATTTTTGTCCCCCTAATTACTCAAAACCTGATGGAAATTGGTGTAATCCTCCACAAAAACATTTTGACTTGAGTATGAAAATGTTCACAACAATTGCCATTTACGAAGCAGGGATTGTACCAGTTCAATATCGACGCGTTCCATGTGTCAAAAATGGTGGTGTTAGGTTTGAGCTTAGAGGAAACCCTTACTTTTTAATGGTTTTGGTTCACAATGTTGGCAATGCTGGTGATGTTGTAAGAGTGGCCATTAAAGGGAGTAATTCTGATTGGGTTCAAATGACTCATAATTGGGGACAAGTTTGGCATACTGGACTCAATTTGGTAGGACAAGACTTGACATTTTGGGTTACTACAAGTGATAAAAAAGCTTTGCAGTTTGTTTCACTCGTTCCTTCCAATTGGCAATTTGGACAAACCTATGAAGGGTCAATAAACTTTTAGATGTGTTACAATTTAGATTATAAAATACATTAGGTATTATGTTCTGAACACTATAAGCCCATTACACTCTGATGAAAGTAAATATATAAACACAACCTGTATTAGCTTTGTGTTGAATACCTAAATTAGTTTTTATAAAAATAGATTATTTTAATTGGAAAAATAAAGAAATGAAAGCATTTTTATTTATTTATTATTATTATTATTATTATTATTATTATTATTATTATTATTATTATTATTATTATTATTATTATTATTATTATTATTATTATTATTATTATCATTATTATTATTATTTCAATATTTGATAATGAACATGTATATTTAATATTTTATTGAAAAAATGATTTTAATAAATTTTCATAAAATATAATTTTAGATATCTTATCTTTTTTCTATAACTATTTTATAATTGAAATATCAAAAAATCATTTAAAATTTAATCTATTTTAAAAAAACTTTTCACAAAAATTATTTTTGAGATATATCTTTTTTTGAAAAATTATGTAGTTTTAATATATTAAAGTTAACAATACACATTTAATTTATTCAATATTTAAATTACTCTTTTTGAAATTATTTTCACTAGAATTTTATTTTTAAAAAATTGAAACAAACACATCGATTGTGTATCTTGTGTTGGACCACAATGAAGAGATAAAAGGCAAACAAAATATATTTACTGACAGCTTCAAAATAAGGATTTACAATGAATTACAATAACATATTTCACTAGGCTATTTATACACAAAATTAAATCTAAAATATATCTTCTAACAAATATATAAGAAGATCTAAGATATATATTTTCTAACAAAGATATTCCTAAATATAAATTAATATCTAATTAATTATAAAATCTAAATTAATTCTAACACCATCCCTTAATTTATAGTTATCCAAAACTGACAACACTAATTCCATCCCTTAAACCAAGAAATTGATCAGTTTTGATAGCCTTTGTCAGAACATCTGCCAGCTGCTTCTAGGTGCAACAGTGCACAACTTCTAAAATTCCATTTTGAACTTGTTCCTCAGAAAATGATACTTGGTCTTAATATAATTGTTTCTCCCATGCAATACTGAATTCTTGGCAAGATTGATTGCAGATTTGTTATCAATCATCAGCTTCAGAAGTTTATTTACCTCAATCTTCAGATCTTTCAGCAAGTTCAGAATCCACACAGCTTGACATGCAGTCAGAGCGCTTGTAATATATTCAGTTTCACAAGTTGACAGTGCAACAACAGGTTGTTTCTTGGAACACCAAGAAATAGGACCTCCCAGAAATTTGAATAAGTACCCATAAGTACTTCTTCTGTCAACTTTATCTCCACACCAATCAGAATCAGAATAACTCAGAAGTTCTGATTCGATCTTTCTTCTAGACGGAAATAACACTCCATATTTCAGAGTTCCCTTCACATACCTCAGAATCCTGACTGCAGTTTGGTAATGAGACCACTTTGGTTTTCTCATAAATCTACTAACCATTCCAACTGCATAGCAAATATCAGGTCTGGTATTACACAAGTACCTTAGAGAACCAACCATCTGTTTGAAGGTTGTAGCATCCACATCCTCTCCATCAGAATCAGAGTCCAACTTCTGATTTGTATCAGCAGGTGTGATGGAAACTTTTCAATTTTCTAGCTCAAATCTCTTCAGAAGTTCTAGTTTATACTTCATCTGATGCAAAATGATTCCTTTCTCAGAGTACATAAATTCCATCCCTAGAAAGAAACTCATTTTCCCAAGATTTGTCATCTCAAATGCATTCATCAGAACTTTCTTAAACTCAGCTATCTGTTGTTCAGAACTTCCTGTGAGTAATATGTCATCAACATACAAATAAACCAGAATCATAGTACCTTCAGAAGTGTGCTGAACATAAACACTATACTCCATCTGACACTTCTGAAACCCCTGTTCCTTGAAAAACGAATCAATCTTCAAATTCCAAGCTCTGGGCGCATGCTTCAATCCATACAAGGCTTTATGTAATTTGAACACCATCCCTTCCTGATTCTTTTTCTCAAATCCAGGAGGTTGTGATACGTATACCTCTTCTTGTAATGGACCGTTCAGAAATGCAGATTTTACATATAATGCATCAGAGGCCAAATCATGTTAGCAGCTATTACAATCACTAGTCTAATTGTTTCATGTATCGCTACAGGTGCAAACACTTCAAAGTAATCCAGGCCAGGCTTCTGTAGAAAGCCTCTTGCTACTAATCTTGCTTTGTTTTTTCCAATTGATCCATCTGGCTTTAGCTTCTGCTTGAAAACCCATCTGACGCTGATGGCTTTCTTGCCTTTTGGAAGTTCTGTCAGCTTCCAAGTCTTGTTTCTCTCTATAGCATCAAGTTCTTCTTTCATGGCCTGTAACCAAACTTGCTGCTTAAGAGCCTCTTCCGTACTCACGGGTTCAGAGTCTACTAACATTGCACACTGAATAACTTCTCCTTCAGAGTCTACTGCAGTGTCTTGCAACATGTCAAACTCTGCAAATATTCTTGGGATGCTTCTGACTCTTTGTTGCCTCTGAACTGGACCTTCAGAACTTTGGACACCAAAACTTTCCCCTTCAGAAGCACTTGCTTCAGCATTTGGACTTTCTCCAGAACCTTGACTATATTGAGAGTCTGGATCACCATCAGAGTCAGAGTCAGAATCATCTTCTCCTTCTGTATCTTCTTTAGAGTCAGAGTCTTTACCAGCTTCAGAAACATGTATTTCTGACTTTTCTTCAGAAGTTCTCTCATTAGAGTCAGGACGAGACTTTTCCTAATTCCAAACTTCTGACTCCTCTATAATGATGTCTCTGTTGAATTCAACTTTGTTAGTTTCTGGACAATAAATTTTGTATGAACCTGTACTGTGGTACCCCACCAGCAACATCACTTTACTTCTATCATCCAACTTCTGTCTTCTAGCTTCTGGGACATGTTTATAACACACAGAACCAAATACCTTCAGATGAATAACACTTTGCTTATCTCCAGTCCACTTCTGAATAGGAACTATTTCCTTCAATTTCTTTGTTGGACATCTGTTGAGCAGATAACATGCAGTTGCAACAGCTTCTCCCCACAGAGTATGAGGAAGCTTCTTCTCTTTCAGCATGCTTGTCACCATATCTAGCAAAGTACGACTTCTATTTTCAATAAGACCATTGTGTTGAGGAGTATAGGGAGCAGTAACCTCATGCTCAATTCCATTCTCCTCACAGAAACTTCTGAATTCTGTGGAGTTATACTCACCACCACCATCAGTTCTTAGAATCTTCAGAGTCTGGCCACTCTGATTCTCAGCCTTCAGTCAGAACTTCTTGAGTTCAGCAAATACCTTGTGTTTGAACTTAATGAGAGATACCCATATCATTCTGGTGAACTCATCAACAAATGTCACAAAATATTTATTCCTTCCATTCGATGTTACTGGAAACAGACCGCACACATCAGAATGTACTACTCCCAAGGCTTGCTTTGCTATTGGAGCTACTTCTGATGCAAATGGTAATCTTGGTTGCTCCCCTTCCATGCACACCTTGCATGACTTTTCAGGCTTCTTGATTGTAGGAATTCCATGTACCAGATTCTTTGATTTCAGATGCCCTAAACTTCTGAAATTCAGATGACCAAATCTTTTGTGCCACAGTTCACTCACCTTGGCAACACTTGTTGCACTAAGACATTCAAAGTCTGTAGTTCTAACATTCACCTTGAATGTTCTGTTCCTTCCCTGTTCTGACTCCATAATTAGCTTCTGATTACAGTTATACAACTTCAGAAGATTGTCCTTCATGGTAACTAAAAAATATTTCTCAATCAATTGTCCCACACTCATCAGATTCCTTTTCATGTCAGGTACATACTATAAATTTTGGATCATTGCTGCTTTCCCATTGTTCAGAATGATTCTGACATTTCCCATACCTTCTGCATTGAGGGATTTATCATCAGCATATCTCATCTTTGTACTCTTCCCAGAGTCAAAATCAACAACCATTTCTTGTTTCCAGTGAGATGGTTTGAACATCCTGTGTCCATATACCACCATTCTGATGAATTCAGATCATCAGGTTTAGAAGCCAACAATAGCACAGGTTCATCATCATACTCTCCTCTTTCTATATTTTCTTCTTCTGACTTCCTTTCTTTGTTGGACCAACAATCTCTGGCATAGTGACCATAGTTCTTGCAACAGTAACACTGAACATTCTTCTTGTCAGACTTCTCCTTTCCCTCCTGGACATTCTTCTGGATATCAGAGTTTGAAGCTTCTGACCTTTGACAACCATTAGTTTTCTTCCTGGCTTCTGACCAAGTCTGCTTCTGATGCTTCTTACCAGAAGTTACTTTCAGAGCGTGCTTCTCTACTTCCCTCTCAGAAGTTCTTGCAGTCATACGCAACTCATGCGCTTCTAGACTACTTTGCAGCTCTTCAACTCTCATGGTGCTAGATCTTTGGAATGTTTAATTGCTACCACAATGTAATTAAACTGAGAAGTTAAAGATCACAAGATCTTCTCAATAAGTACTTGTTCAGACAGAGTTTCTCCACAAACGTTCATCTTATTAGTGATCAGAATCACTCTAGAGATGTATTCAGAAACCTTCTCGTTGTCCTTCATGTTGAGATTCTCATATTGCTTTTTGAGAGACTAAAGCTTCACCTTCTTCACTGATGCGTCACCACCGTAATATCTGACCAGTGTGTCCCATGCAGCTTTTGTTGTTTCAGAATCAACAATCTTCTCAAACACATTCGCATCCATACATTGATGGATGTAGAACAACGCCTTCTGGTCTTTCTTCCTCAGCGCCTTCTGTGCTACCTTATGTGCCTCTGTTGCGTCTGCTTATAACAGATTATAGCCATCGGTGACAAGATCTAACACATCTTGAGGACTAAATAACACGCGCATCTGGATGTTCCAATGATTCCAGTTTTTGCCATCAAATATACTCAGCCTCAACAGTGGACAAAGAC